CCTCCCATCCCACCCCTGCCATGGCAGGGACCCCTTCCCCTGTCCCAGACTGCTCCAAGCCCCGTCCAACCTGGCTTCGGACAATCCCAGGGATGGGGCAGCCGCAGCTTCCCTGGGCAACCCGCGCCAGGGCTTCACCACCCTCTGAGTAAAACAATTCTTTCTTAAATCCAATTTATACCGACGTCCCTTGGGTTAAAGCCGTTCCCCGTTCTCCTATCACAATAGCCCTGCTCAGAAGTTTGTTCGCAAAGGATGCAAAGCAGCCCCGTGCCCACGCTGCGGCTGGGCTCCGAGGGGCCGGGGATGTTTATTGCCATTTGCCTGACATGCCACACCAGCAATAAAATGTCTGTGCAGTGTCGGAGGTATTTTTCTTGGGCCATTTGGAGGCCGGGGCTCTCCTTTCATTCCCTGTGGTCTTTTGAAGATGTTGGATCGCTCACGGCACGGTCAGAGCTGCAGGGGCAAAGGCACAAGTGCTGAACAGTTTAATTCTTGTGCTTATTGCCAGTCACAGAACTGCCTCCTCTGTTGGAAATCCTCTGCTGGGCACTGCTGCGGGTGAAGGGAGGGATGGAGCTCCTGAGAGGCAGCCAGGGGGGTTTTATGAAATGGAGAAAATGCTGCTTCTCCCCCAGCCAGCCCGGCCGGGTGCTGCAGAGATATTTGTCTCTGCTCCTATTACTGCTTTTCCAATAGCCAGGCCTCCCACGGAGACAGGATCTGCAACCCCTCAAGCCCTGCACAGATGGAAAGCACAGCTTTGAACTGAATTGGGCTCTTTCCCAGGGGGGAGGGTGTGCTGGTGGGTTGGTTTTTTTAAAAAGATAAGCCCTGCATGATAAGGAAAACAGCATTAACAAACAATTACAGGACCTGACCCTCAAGAAATCATTTGTCACTGCAACCCCAAATCCATGTGAGGGAACAACACACTTGCTTCACATTCGCCCACACCTCACCTCTGCTTGCTAGAAATGTAGCATGTGGCTTCCTGAGACTTTTCTCTCAGCTTTACAGTGGATTTTTGTGATAAATCCTCCTGTGACTCATCTACAGAACAGAAGTGTGAAGTCCAGAATTATATTTAATTATTACAGAAAATAAATCATAAGGGTACAATTATGCCCAGCTTGGAAAAGCTCCTCCCACTTCCCAGATGTACAAACAGGAACACCTATAAACCCCCACGAGAAGTGCATTATTGCTGAGCCTGGATGACTTTGGGGTTAAAACTCAGCTTTGAGTTTTGCTCTGGAGGGTGCCATAGCCAATCCCAAATTCCTGACTGCCTGATGAGTTTCATGTCCAAGAACCACAGTGGTGGCTGGCTCAGCCCTTCGCTGTCTTGTGCATAAACCCAGAACCTGACTTTTCTTATTTTCCATTTCCAAACAGGCACAGACACCTGGTCTGCTGCCCCAGAGCTCCCCTGTCCCCCAGGCTGGGTTCCAACACACTGCAGGTATTTCATGGCTCGCTGCTCCCTAGCAGCAGCCTCACCCTGGGAGGACCAGGAACAAAAGGAGTAAAGAACCACTAACATCTATTCTTACCCAAGGAAACTGGGATTTTTAAGGATCTCAAGAGTCACAACTTTGTCCTGGAGTCAGCAGAGAAAATGATGATGTAGCAACTAATTGCCAGAAAAGCAGTGCTCAATTATTAAGGGTTTTTTTGTACTACACTCTTCTCCTCAGTGTTTCACTGGAAAGCAATCACACAGAAAGAAAGAAAATCTGTAAAACACTTCACTTTAAATAAATATTGGGACTGTGGGAGGTTAAACAATGGTGAAGGGCTTGGTATATAAAACATACAACAATGAACTTAAGAAATTCAATCTTTATTTTGTGAATATTTACAACATAAAAAGTAATACTCATATACTTCACATGTGTATCAAAAATAAAGCAAAAATCCAAGTTCTTAGAACAGTCTGATTCTCCTTGTCAAATTTCATGTTAAAGTTTTATATTAATCTAATCTTAGATACTTACAGAACCATCAGAAAGAAACACAGGTTTTTCCTCTTCAAATGAAAGCTATCCTTGACAAATTTGGATTCCTGACATTATATTCTTTGATACACCAAGTGATTTTTTTTCCCCTGAGGAACTTTAGTTATTACAACCTTATCAGCTTTTTAAGATCAGCCAAAACAAATCACCTTTTATATCACTAACAATGCAACCCGTTATTCAAGATGAACGAGTTTTAAACCACAAATTACACCAAAAAGTAGTGTAAGAACAGAATTCAAACAAAAAGGTTGTGTTTAAACCCATCCCACGAGCTTTGTAAAGGCCTGACATGGGGTTTCTGTCCAGTGTGGTCTTGGCAGCAATGGCACATTATAGAGGTGTGAGAGGTCTCTGCCCCTCAAACCTGCACTGGGCAGCACAGCTTGGAGGAGTTTAGCAGGTGGGAAGCTGGACAACTAATTCAGGACATCACTGTGGAGGTTTGGCATCAGAACATTTTCATTGTGGCCTGCATGCTGCTACTGAACTTCCATGTGGGTTGTGATATGGGATACATTCTAAATAACCAGGAACTGGGGGTTTATATTCTGTGTAACCCATTAACTGTGGGGTTTGTGTTTGAGACAGGGACCCTCAACATCACAGCACTGTTTGTGAACACCAACATACACAAATTCCACAAACTGGGGACCTGCACTCCCCACCTTTTCACCTCTCAGTGGAGCTTCTAACCCAGCTCACAAACTGTTTCAGCCTCTGCAGGAATTTATTGCTGCTTATGCGCTCCTGGACTCTTTCAGAGTAGTTCTGGTCTTTCCATATGCCTTTATTTTTCTTCACAGCCTTTAACTCAGCCCGGAGGAGCCGTTTGTGCAGTTTCCAGTAGAGGCGGGAGTGGTGAGGCAGCCCCTCAATCCGGGCTGCTCTGGCCAGCCCTTGCCTCAAGAGCTCTTCGTTCAAGCACATGCTGAGAAATCCACCCTATAAAAATCACAATAAACAGATATTCACCATTGAAACAGGGTTATTTGGGGTTTGGTGTGAGCTCCCACAGAGGTACAAGCTTTACTCATGGCTGTATCGATGCTTTGGTAGAAGAAGTTAAAAGTGAAGAGGAATGCAGGTGACTAAAAACCCAACTCCAGTGTGACGGGGGGATGCCCTGGCACAGGGCTGTGGCTGCCCTTGGACCCCTGGAAGTGCCCAAGGCCACCACCTGGGAAGTGTCCAGGAGCACCTGGGATGGTGGAAGGTGTCCCTGCTGTAGGCTGGGACTGGATGATCTGTGGGTCCTTTCCAACCCAAACGATGCTGTGATTCTATAATGCATGGAACTTGTGAGGGAACACTGGATAACAAACATTAGGCTAATCAGAACTACAGGATGCCTTTTTGGCCCTGGCAGAGAAACATATTCCTGCCATGAATCAGTCTGAAAAACTACTGCTCCTGCAATCAGATTTGCAAATGCAACATTTAAATTCCCACCAAGGAAGATAAATCATAAATAATACCATTTGTTAAATGTACTGAGATAACTGTGTGACTACAGTCACATGTAAAACTGCAGATAAGAGCCAGTTTTTGTGTCTCTCTTTACCTTATGGACTAGAACGAGGCACTCCAGGGCCGAGCTGTCCCTCCCCAGCAGCTGGAACCACAGGGGCTGTTTGGGGAGCAGCTCCCGCTGCAGCCAGGCTGTGCCACCTGGAGCCAGCTCCACCCCGGCCAGGCGGATCAGCAGGAGCCTCTCCGACTGCCCTGCAACGGAAAGGGACAAATCTGGATCTGGGGGAAAGCTCAGGCTTTGCACAGACCCTCAGCTGTTGGTAATCAATTGATTCCAGTAGACTAAAAGAATCCCTTTTAGGTCCTCAAAGCAAACAGGAATTTGGTCTCATCTCTTCTTCAGGAAAAAAAACCAAACCAACATATAAATTCAAGGTTGCCTAATTCAAAATGAGTTTTGGTTTATTTTGCATGCAAAGAAAAAGATCTGCTCCCACTCTCAGTCCAAAGGGGCAGAAGCATCAATACCTGCTGGTGTCTGCACAGCCAGTGTGAGAGTCACAGACTTGATGGACACTTTGTTTCTGACAGCAAAACTGTCCCCAAAAATGGGTGTCTGCAAATAAAAGCACAATCCCAACAGAGGCTTTTTGCCAGGAATGAGATGAGCTGTGCAGGCAGAAGCACTGTCTGAGTGCTCGCTTCTGCTGCTGGAAAGTATCACAGTAACCATAAGGATTAACACAAACACTGTAGTGACAAACCCTCTGTGCGGGTCTCCTCATGCTTTTTATTCCCCAGTTTGCCACCTGCAAAGCACAGAAAGACCAAAAGGCAGAGCTGGAAACGTGCCCCAGCCCTTCCTCTCAAGCTTGCAGGAACTCCAAGAGCAGCACATTTCATTTCTGCCCTTGCTCTTCACGCTGTTTTCCTCATTACTCACATTTTCTCTGGATGGTTGAGATGAAAGGAATGCTGATGGGAACATGCTCAACTTCCAGGCCCTTCTCTGTGATGTGATGTAATTTCCCTCTCAATTTCACATTCTTTTCTATGAACTCCACAGGTATATCCAAAGGACTTGTGAACTTTGTTGTCTATTGATGGTAGGAAGAGAAAGACAAAATTTTAAGAAAAAATATAGAGCAGTTACAGGCACACTAAATGCAACTTCTTAAAACAGTTTGGGAAATTACACCTCTATTATTAGACACCATGGGCAAGTAAATATAGATATATAATTAGTAGTGATCAGCTGCAGAAGCTGTGCCAGCCTCTCCACACTTACCATTTTCCCTGTTTTACAGAACTTGCAACGTCAGCACGGACATAAAAACCAGGTTTAGAGCAAAACCAGAAACTGCCATTTTTCAAGCAACGCCTATTGAAGTTCTCCTGATTCCCCGAAAAGAGTGTTTCAGGAGCAGCCTGAATGGGGCTGGGATAGGGGTGAAAGGAAGCCAAAGGACAGACACGCTGGAAACAAAGGAGGAGCAGGGAGGGCAGAAACAACCCCGCCTTTGATGCCAGAGGAAACCAGGAGAGGGACAAAGGCAGGTGAACAGCTTGGAGAAGATCACAAGAAGATTGAATTTGATACTACAGCCTGGGGGGATCCCAAGGGGATGGTTATGTGATCACACAGGAAAACCAAGCTGAGCAACAGCAAAGACTTGGGCAGTGGCACAGGAATGGAGCAGCCACAGGTTTGGGGTGAGGGACAAGGACACGTGAGACCTCAAAAAAACTAAGCCCCCCAAAATTTAAGACACTGAGGACTCCCTGGCAAGAGGCCTTAGCAGAGCACTGACCTACTTCTACAGAGCTGTGAAACCCACTGAGCACTGATGTACAACTGCTGGGAAATAAACCCCCCAAAACACCACAACTAAAGATGTGTCTCCTGTGTGTTATTTACTCAGTTATTTACTCTCCCCCTCTGCGGCCCACAGAGCCTCCCACTGGGAACACGGGAACCCGGGACCTTGCAGGCAGGAAACCTGAAGGTTTTCAGGAAAAAGAATTGTTCAAAGCTGATCTCATGTACTCTGGAAGCTCCACCAGCCAGGTTAATGCATTCACAGGCCCTTGGGTCAAAACTAACCGAAAACCAGAGAAAAATAATTCTGGCAGCATTTGTAGTTCAGGTTTTCTGGTAGGATTTTTAAAAACTCCACACAAATGTTCCCTTGTATCATCTGGAATTGGGCAGGGTGAAGATGAAGGTAACTGGGATTTTTTAAGCAGCTGGGACCTTGTGGGAGCACAGTGGCTGGAGGTTCAGCTTCTACAGGAGTGAGCAGCGTGGTGCTGGTCCAGTGTGACCTGACCATCCTGGGAGGGAGGGAAGATTTGGGTGATGTTTAAAACCACTCAGAAGCACTTCGGTGTGTGGAAGGACAGGGAATACGCGAGGCAAGCAGCTGTTTCAGCTGTGTTTGGACAAGGGAGGGTGCTGGAGCTGCACGGTGGGACAGGCAAAGGGACCATTGCCCCTCCCAGGGCCTCCAGGAACAGGCGAGAACAAGAGACCCGTGGAGATGCCTCAGGACATCGATATCGAGCCCCTCAGGACCCGAAGCAAACTTTGCTGGGTTTTTTTCACTTGTTAATCAGTAGCTGTAGCAGGACCGTTATGATTAAGCAATCGCATTGTGAACCTTGCACGCTTGGCTAATCTTTAGCTTTCAGGAAAAGGGAAGACAATGCCCAGATGAATGGGCTGTCTGGGCGGGAGCCAGCAGGAGTGGGGCTGAGCCGTCCCTGGGGAAAGGCAATTCCAGCAGTGGGACAGCGCGACCACTGACCAGCACCGACCAGCAGTGACCAGCACTGCCCAGCAGTGACCAGCACTGACCAGCACCGACCAGCAGTGACCAGCATTGCCCAGCAGTGACCAGCACTGACCAGCACTGACCAGCACTGCCCAGCACTGCCCTGCAGTGATCAGCACTGCCCAGCACTGCCCAGCAGTGATCAGCAGTGACCACTGACCAGCACCGACCAGCACTGCCCAGCAGTGACCAGCATTGCCCAGCAGTGACCAGCAGTGACCAGCACTGACCAGCGCTGCCCAGCACTGCCCAGCACTGCCCAGCAGTGATCAGCAGTGACCACTGACCAGCACCGACCAGCACCGACCAGCACTGCCCAGCACCGCCCAGCGCTGCCCAGCGCTGCCCAGCACTGCCCAGCACTGCCCAGCGCTGCCCAGCAGTGACCAGCAGTGACCATCGCTGCCCAGCAGTGACCAGCAGTGACCACTGCCCAGCACTGCCCAGCACTGCCCAGCACTGCCCAGCACTGCCCAGCACTGCCCAGCAGTGACCACTGCCCAGCACTGCCCAGCAATGACCAGCTCTGCCCAGCACCGACCAGC